GTGACACAACAACACTTGTTAAACATAGAATGAATTACCAACCATATTGCCAACGCTCTTTTTCATATTTTGCCTCATTTGTTTAGAATAGGCTTCCAAAAACTATCAGAGAAGCAGAAAATCTAGAAATTTTTAAGAAGAAGCTAAAAGCATTTCTATTTTCATGTTATTATTATTTCGATTAGACAGAATCCACCAAAGCTATAGATCGTCGTGAGTTTGTATGTGCGTATGTACGTATGTGTGTATGTATGTGTGTATGTGTGTGTGGGTTTGTGCGTGCGTGAATATGTGTGTGCACGCGTATGTAATAATATGTGCCTTTAAAATTGATTTGTAAATCCATAATATGTTTCATGTTAAGCGCATAGCGCATTGCAAAAGTGGATAAGCGCTATATAAATGCAATCCATTATTATTATCATTATGAGTGATTGTCCAGCATTCACAGCCATATAGAAAGGTTGACAATACATACCGTTTCAGAACTTTTAATTTGGTAGTCATTGAAAGTTCTATATATAATATATTCTAGAGGCGGGCCTATAGGGACCAACCAGCAGTTTAAAAAATTCCATCTTCGCTGCATTAAGACGAAGATGGTCTATGAAATAGACTTCGATGAGCGAGAATCAAACATGTTGTTATTGTTTGATTGTTTGTTTGTTGTTTTTTTTTCTGGGAGGGGGTTGTTTTTTGTTTGTTTTGTTTGTTTATTTTTTATTTGTTTGTTTTTGTTTTATTTTGTTGTTGTTTTTTTGGAGGGGGGGGGTTGGGGTGGGTTTGTTTGTTTGTTTTGGGTTTTTTTTTAGGGGGGGGGCAGCAGCGACGAATCTAACCATATAACAACAGACGTCGATATCATATCATTAGTACATGAACAGAAGTAAAATCACAGAAAGCGGAAGAACAACATCAAACATACACATACTACATGCCCAAAACGAGTATAACTATGATGCTTGGTGTCACTCCTCAAAGCTCTCTTATGTTCCGCATTATAATACGGCTCGCTCACGCGAAAAGCCCTTGTGGCAATACAATCACCAATACAAAGACGCGCCAAAGAACACGGACCTACTGAGATAACACAGTCAGATTACCAGTGATTAAGGCGTTAGCGCTCAATCGGGCTGTGACCTATTAATCTCCGGCTGTCAACCGTTTTTCTTTGGCCATTGCTCGAACCTACGCAATACGACTTTGGGCTGTCAGGCAACGAGAAAGAAGACTTCCAGCAACCTGTTCGCCTCCCCAGTGTTAAATTGGTGCAGGCAAGAGCGGTAAGCCACCAGAATTGTGATACTGATAAGATCTAGCAGCCGAGATAACTCGCAGTACTATTATTTCCTCTGTGTAATGCTTCTTTTGGTATCATCACCACCATGATCCTTACGATGATGACCATCACTAGTACACCTATCCTTCTTCTTCTTCTTCTTCTTCTTCTTCTTCTTCTTCTTCTTCTTCTTCTTCT